GCATCATGGTTTGGGGCTGCTTTGCTGCATCAGGGCCTGGACGGATTGCTATCATCGAAGGAAAAATGAATTCCCAAGTTTATCAAGACATTTTGCAGGAGAACTTAAGGCCATCTGTCTACCAGCTGAAGCTTAACAGAAGATGGGTGTTGCAACAGGACAATGGCCCAAAGCATAGAAGAAAATCAACAACAGAATGGCTTAAACAGAAGAAAATACGCCTTCTGAAGTGGCCCAGTCAGAGTCCTGACCTCAACCCGATTGAGATGCTGTGGCATGACCTCAAGAAAGCTATTCACACCAGACATCCCAAGAATATTGCTGAACTGAAACAGTTCTGTAAAGAGGAATGGTCAAGAATTACTCCTGACCGTTGTGCATGTCTGCTCTGCAACTACAGGAAAAGTTTGGCTGAAGTTCAACCAGTTATTAAATCCAAGGGTTCACATACTTTTTCCACTTGCACTGTGAATGTTTACATGGTGTGTTCAATAAAAACATGGCAACATTTCGTTTTTTGTGTGTTATTAGTTTAAGCAGACTGTGATTGTCTATTGTTGTGACTTAGATGATGATCAGATCACATTTTATGACCAATTTGTGCCGAACTCCATATCATTCCAAAGGGTTCACATATTTTTTTCTTGCAACTGTAGTATATATTGATATATTAATAATAGCTGCTGTAACACCAAAGTGCAGTCTTTCCTACCACACCAATCTCAAACCACAAAAACACAAAAAAGGTGTAGCGCTCTTATACAGAATAAACTTAAAAAGATTATACAGACCAACTGGGTCTTCGCACTTGGGCCAATACAGGCAATGGGTGGTAGACCTAAAAATAGAAAATACACTCCAATAGCGTAATATTGAATTTTATCAAAGTTCTTGTATATACTTTATATGAGATAACTCACATTTTCCTGAGCTATTTTCCAAGCTCAGGGGTAGAACGCTTGTAGGTCCGTAAAGGTAACCTCCCTTTCTTTGTTGAAGGAACAAGTGGTCTTAACCAATACCAACTGTGATGTAGACAGATAAATATATATAGTGTAGTATATTCAGACACTGGGAAAATAATAGTTGTAATATACTCACAAAAGTGGAGCCTGTATCGGCTCTCTTGCAGCACGTTGTGTAGTGTGGGACTACACTCCCATATGCAGGAAACCAATAGCCCAATAACGTATATATAAAAGGAAGTGTTTGGATATATTTTATTAAGCCCATCTGGCGTCAGGTACCATCGGTACATTAGTTTTCTATGGGCCTCTATGTGAAAGTAGCACACTGTTTGTCCTAATAATGCACTAACGAAATTGAACCATTTGTGAGGATTTAGCCTCCGTCTACTTTTCTTTTCCAATAGGTATTGGGAGTCTGTGTGATTTGAGAGCACCTTGTAGCACAGGGAAAGTAGCTCGCGTTTGAGGTTTTTTTTTTTTTTTTCAACACGTGGGGAAAAGACCATATTCCTCTCCTTGTTCTCCGCCCACACCCTTGATAGCTCTGCCTATGTGAATCTAGTAATTCACTCTTAATTTGGAAGTACTGAAAGACATAGTGGGGGGATAGGTTGTACATCTGTTGTAGATCTGCAAAGACCTTATCGCCTGTCAAAAGGTGGGAAATTCTAGTAATACCTGCTTGTTCCCAAGAAGCTAGCGGGAGCCATGGTAGGACTATGGACAGAGCCTGCAATGGAGCCAGACTATGGAACATGAGAAGGTTTTATTGAATGGCTTGTACTTTATCCCATATTAAAGTGGTTGTTTTTGTAGTGTGAAAAAGGGTGTGAGCTTTTTCTCGTTTGGAATGGGGGGGCACATATATGCTAGGAGGGAGTCATTAGGTCATTGTGTGAGTTCCATGTCAGAGCTTGTGTGCCGTGTAATCTGCTATGCAGGGGTGGAACTAATGTAGAGAGGGCCCTGGTGCAAAAAAAATTTTGGGGCCCCTAAAGACACATGCCCATTTGGTGGCCCTAAGTGCACGGGGCACTAGAAGGGCCCCAGTGTAACCCCAACACCAGCACTGCCTGTAGTTCCACTGCTGTGCCTTCATTATTACAGGCAAGACACCTTTTCACAGAAACTGGAAAACCTTTTCTGGAGATGTAAGATAATTTCCCATGGTGTTAAAAAGTGGCTGTGGTGAAGTTTATTTTTTATTTAAATAAATTTTTCTTTATTTTCAAGAGTATAAAGTCATGGGGTACAGAAGAAAGAAGAAGGATCATTTAAACGTAACATAGTGGGGTATGGTAATACATTAGCACATAGTGAAACACCAATATTACTTCTGTTCGTCATAGTCGGTTGCTGGGGCAACTGTCATTGCGGGATTCCGGAGCGCCGGATTTGGTTCTATGTTGCCAGGTGTTTACAGCTTAACTCGTTTCAGTTACAATGGTGTATTTACTATGGCGTGGACGTCCTATAGGGTAATAAACCTGGGTGGGTGGGAGGTTAGGAGGGATGGGTAGGGAGGGGGGGGGGTATTGTCCTGCCTAGTGAAGCTAAATTCGATCCTTGTGGGTACTCCTATGATCTTATTGTGACAGTCCTAGTCTATGTAGGGGTGTTCGCCCTTTAGTTAGGGGGTTATGGGTGGGGCCGTCCCTAGGGGGCTCTTCCAAAATTCTATCCAGGGCTCCCATATTTTAAGGTATCTGTGCCGTCTTCCCAGTACAGACCAGTGTATCTCTTCCATTTCCCTCGTGCATTCAATCCGTCGTACCCACTGCTCCCTAGACGGCACGCTGGGTCGGCGCCAATGCGTTGGCACTAGAGCGTTGGCTTCCCCGAGCAGAATCTGCAGGAGTTGTCGTTTGTGCGGCTCCTTAAAGGAGCGAGGCCAGCCCAGTAGGACCTGTGATGGTGACAGACGGACTCGCAATGCGAGAATTTCCGCTATGTCCTTCAGTATGTGTTGCCAGAATGGTTTTATGCTCGGGCAGCTCCACCAGATGTGTTCCATGTCTCCTTGACCCCCAGAGCATCGCCAGCATGTATCGCTAATGGTGGGCCAGAATGTGTGGAGTGTTGTTGGTGTTCTGTACCATCTAGTGACTCTTTTGTAGAAGGTCTCTTTACGGGCTACACTGATAGGGGTTTTGATCCCTGTTTCCATAATGTCTGTCCAGTCTCTGTCCGTCATATGTATGTGTAAGTCTCTCATCCATTTCTGTTGGAATGCGGGTAGTGTGTGCTCGATTTTAGCTGTCTGAATAATGTTATATATTTTGGATAAGGTTCGTTTTGAGGTACTCTGTGGGTCACATAGGTTTTCAAAGGGAGTAGTGTCTCTTGGACGCCAGAATGGGATGACTGACCTATTTAAAAAATTCTTAAGTTGTGTTCTGTCCATGATATCAAGGAGTGTGTCCTGCCTGTTCTGTCTAGAGAGGGTTTTTAATGTGGGCGGGTCCTCGGCTGTCAGAACCTCCGTGATGGCTGGGTTTGGCGAACCTGTCAGCCTTACCAGGGTAGAGCTCCCCTTTCCTCTCTGGAAATCTGGGTTGCCTGCTAAGGGGAAAAACTTAGATAGTCCCGGGGATAAACCCCATGTGTCTTTGTGCCGTCTCCAGATTGTGAGGATGTTGTGAGTGAGTGGGTGGTGCGTTGGGGAGAGTTCTTTTATTTGACAAGTTTGCCATGGTAATGTATGGAGTGGAGCCTGCATAAAGCTCTGTTCCAAGTCATACCATGATTTTTTCTTACTTGTGCTTGTCCACTCCTTTATGCGGGTAAATAGCACTGCCACATAGTATTTGTATATGTGGGGGAGACCCAGGCCCCCTCTGCCCGTGTGGGATGTCAGAGTGGCGTAGGCTATTCTGGCTGGTTTGTTGCCCCAGGTGAAGGTTGTAAATATGGTTCGCATTTGTTTGAAAAAGTCCTTGGGTAGGGGGAGTGGTAGCGTTTGGAACAGGTAAAGTACTCTCGGTAGGATCATCATTTTCAGAATGTTGATCCGACCTATTAGGGAGAAATAGGGAAGGTCCCACTTGCGAAGGTCCTGTTTAATGCTGCTTAGCAGGGGGGCATAGTTGAGTTTGTATAGGCTCGTGGGCGAAGTGGTTAGCTTGATTCCCAGGTAGGTTAGTCCAGTTCGAGTCCAAGGGAAGGTGTGCGTGCGTTGTATCCGTGTTTGTAGGGAGGGGGGTACAGAAATCCCCAGGATTTCACATTTGTCCACATTTATCTTAAAATTAGATAAGGACCCAAAGGTTTTAATCTCCGTTTGGATCTGTGGGAGGGTATTAATTGGGTCCGTGATCGTGAAGAGGACGTCGTCCGCAAACGCGGATACCTTCGTCTCTCCCCTCAGGTATTGGAGCCCCCGTATGTTATTGTTGTTCCTGATAGCCGTAAGGAAGGGTTCCATGGCTAGGACAAATAGGAGGGGGGAAAGGGGGCATCCTTGGCGTGTGCCATTATTTATCTGAAAGGGTGTGGATAAGTGGCCGTTTACCCTAACGGTTGCGGACGGTCCCCTGTATAAGGTTTGTATCCAATTCCTTAGTCTAGGGCCGGCCCCTAGAACCTCCAGGACCGTGAAGAGATAGGACCAATCCACCCTGTCGAATGCCTTTTCCGCGTCTATTGCCATGAGTAGTGTCGGTGTGTTCGTAACAGTTGCCCCATGTATGACGTTTAGGATTTTTGTGGTATTGTCCCTAGCTTCGCGGCCAGGCACAAAGCCGGCCTGATCAGGGTGGATTAGTCCCGGCAATAAGGGTTTGAGTCGATTGGCGATCATTTTCGCCATTAGTTTTAGGTCCAGGTTTATCAAGGAAATGGGTCTGTAGCTCCCGCATTGTGTGGGGTCTTTGCCCGGCTTGGGAATGATGGTGATCGATGCGCGGAGCATCGGGGGAGGTAGTGGGTTGCCCTGGGCCAGTCCGTTTAGCGATTTAAGAAAGTGGGGGATTAGCTCCTGTGCAAGTGTTTGGTAGTATCTCGCCGTCAATCCGTCCGGGCCTGGGCTCTTACCTTTTGGTAGAGTCTTAATGGCTAGTGATAGTTCTGCTGGAGAGAATGGCTCATCAAGTGTGAGTGCTGTGTCGTCGGGAATAGTGTGTGAAAGGTTTGAGGTGATATATTCTCTCAGGTTGTTAGGTTGTTGACTTGGTGTGTCTAAATTGTAAAGGTCTTCATAGAAGGTACTAAATGCTGTAGCTATGTCGTCTGTGGTATGGCATTACTGTTTTGTCAGTTATTTTGTCGATAAAGGACCTCTGATGCTTAGCTTTTAGAGCTCGGGCCAATAGTTTCCCGCTTTTATTACCCTGGGTATAAAAGGAGCCCCTGGTCAGTTGGACCGATCTGTGTGCTTTAAGGGCTAATAGTGATCGCATTTCTATTCGGAGGGCCGTGAGTTTCTGGAAATTCTCGGCAGTAGGGTCTTGTTTATGCAGGGCTTCTGCGAGGTGTATTTCCGTAGTAAGGGAATTAATGTGTTGTGTGCGTTCTTTCTTAAGTCTAGATCCCCATTTAATTAGGGTGCCCCTCGCGGTTCCCTTGTGCGCTTCCCAGACCCATTGGTGGGATACCTCTCCTGTGTCATTGTCTGTGAAGTTGCCTATTGTCTGTCGCAGGTCGTCCATTACTCTCGGGTCATCTAACAGGGTCTCGTTCAGTTGCCAGTGCGTGGTGCATTTGGGATCTCTCTGGAGGGTGACCGATATGAAAACTGGGGCATGGTCTGACCATGTGATGATGCCTATAGATGCTTCGCTCAGTAGGGGGAGGTGTCTATGGCTGAGAAGAAACATGTCTTTTCTGGAGTAGGTGTTTGCTACCTGGGAGTAATAGGAGTAATCCCTCTCTTGAGGGTGTAGTATACGCCAGCAATCTATTAGTTGATGGGCGTGGAGCACATTGGATAACATAGTCCGCTGGCGGTGTTGAGAATCTTTAGTCTTAGATGAACTATCTATGGAATGGTCTAGTACCATGTTCCAGTCTCCCGCTACAATTACGGCTCCCTCAGCAAAACTGTCTAATTTAGCAAGACAAGAACGTATATAGGGGACTTGGTCCGAGTTTGGAGCGTAAATACTCGCCAGTGTCGTGAGGACTCCATTGTATATCCCCTTCACAAACACAAACCTACCTCTTGGGTCAGTTTTGATTCCGATCTCAGTAAAGGCTGCGGTGGATGAGATCAGGATCACCACACCTCTAGATTTCTGTCTAACATTATTGCTATAGTAGGATATTTGAATGCGTTTTGATCTAAGTTTCGGTTTGAATTCACCTCTATAGTGGGTTTCCTGCAGAAAGACAATATCAGCACCTTTCCTGTCTATTTCCTGTGCTAGCATCGTTCTCTTCATGGGGGAGTTTAGTCCCCATACATTCAGTGACATGAGCTTAGTTTGGGCCATGATGTCAGGATGTGCAATCTCTTGTTTTAGCTTGGGACCCTAGGAGTACGCCAACGACTGTAGCGTATTTTGTGAGTATGTAGGCAGGGGTGATGTGGACAGGGTAAACTGGGGGGGAGTTTAAACTTTGTACAATAAGATATGAGGGTATCATATCAGGAGTGAGATTGGCGGTACACTTGTGGGTAACTTACTCGTTTCCACAAGTTGTGTCGGGGCGCCTCTCTGGGGGTGGTGACCAAGGTGGCCCGACCGAGGGCCGGCGGGGATACCTTTAGGGTGGTTGATCATTTGATGCTATGCTCCCGCTCCTCTAACTAGAGAGGGAATGGGGGATGTGGTGTAGGTCTAAGTTCACCCTGTGTGCCAGGTCCCTGTAGGCCCTTTTAACTCATCCATAACCATGTTTCTTGTGTCTAAGGCCAGAGGGGTCTGGTGTCGGCAAATTCTACATTCTATAAACGTAACATAACAAAACAATGGCAATAGTAAAGTATAACATCGCAATCTTATACACATTTTAGTGCAATATCAAGGCACAGAATGTTAAGGTTAATGCAAAGGATATGCTTGCGTGGTCCTGCCGATGCTCAGGTTGCTTTGTCTCCAGGCGAGGCATGGACATCAGTTCCTTTTTGGGTCGGCCTATGTCTCTTCCTCGGGGTTCTCTGCCATTTTGGTCGATGCTGCGACTGCTTCGGTGAGAGACCTGACAAGCCGGTCCAGTCCTCCACCTCGGAGGGTGGTAAGTTCAAACCCCTCTGGAAGTCGGGAATGTCCGCTGGCGTAGTTATGGTGTGAGTCTTGTCCTTATAGATCACTGTGAGAGCGAACGGGAAGCTCCACCTAAACTTGATTTGTCTTTCCATTAGAGCTTGTGTGATGGGACGTAAGGCCCTTCTTGCCTGTAGGGTTGACGGTGATAGGTCTTGGAACACGGTTACTTGGTGGCCGTCGACCGCTAGGTCTTTTGTTTGGCGGGCTTTACGGAAGATCTCCTCTTTCAGAGGGAAGTTATGTATTCTGCAAATAATGTCACGTGGCCTGTCTGGGGGTAGGTTTCTGGGCCTCGCTGCCCTGTGTGCTCTGTCGAACTGGATGGCTGTTTCTGGGGGTCTGATGAGGATGTGGTTAAAAAAGGTTGTTAGGATCTGTGTGGGGTTCTCTGTGGTGCCGTCTGGCGCCTCAGGTATGCCTCTTACCCTGAGGTTGTTTCGTCTACCCCGGTTGTCAACATCTTCTAGCCATCTTTGTAGGTGTCTGATGGCTTCAGAGTGTGTTTCTTGTGTAATGTGGCATTCAGTCCACTGTCTGTCAGCATTGTCATTCTCTTCTTCCAATGCCTGTACTCTGTTGCCCAATTGCTGCACATCTGCGCTCACTGCCTGTAGTTTTTCACTAAAGCTGTCCTCTAGCCTTTGAAACATGGCTGCAAGGTCAGTTTTGGAGGGCAGTTGGGTTAAAATTGCACTGATATCAGATTCCTCCGCCGAGCATTCTGAAGCTGATGGGCTAGACGGTTGACTGCCTCGTGTGTTTCCCGCGGGCGCCATTTTGCCGCGTCTTCGCGGGTCCGGTTGTTCTGTAAAGAATCTCCGTAGAGATGTTTTGGCATCTGGGGAGGTTGTCGCTGGGGTGCTCCCCGCGTTACTGCGGTTTTTCTTGGTTGCCATGTGTGCGGTCGGGTGCCGGGTATCCCCTATTGCTCTCGGTCAGGGACGGAGCTCGGGATTCATGCGTCCATGTTCCTCGGAGTCTTGGCCACGCCCCCCGTGAAGTTTATTTATATAGGAGTCTGTTTATGGTGTACTATGTGTAACTACGGGCTGTAGCGTGAGCACGTGTTCATGTATAGGAGCTTTTGAGATTGCGTGTGTGCTGAGAGGACCTGTAAAGTGTGTGCATGTGCATCTAGGGGCTGCAGTGTATGGAGCATTGGTTGTATGAGTATTGGGGTTGCATTTTGTTCTTATCAAGGAGCTGTAGTTTGTATGTATGAATATATATACACACTGCTCAAAAAAATAAAGGGTACACTTAAACAACACACTGTATCTCCAAGTCAATCACACTATTTTTTTGAGCAGTATATATATATATATATATATATATATATATATATATATTTCACCCAGTCTCCAAAAGTAAAAGGAGAACAGTAAATGGTGAGAGAGTGACTTTAAGGCATAAGGCAAGCTCAAAATTGTGTCAAATTAGTGGAGCTTGCCTTAAACTTAACCCTTTGTTAAGATTGTCACGTATGGAAAAAATAGATAAGACAAAGTAGTCCCTACTTTTTCTAATGTTTTATAGAGAAATAGATCAGAAATTAAGAAAAGAAGATTCTGAGAAGAAGAGAAGAAAAAAAAAACAGGAGAAAAGTAAGTTTGAGATGACAGAGCCTCTTTAAGGTCATTGGCCATTGAGAAACGTGCGCTATTATAGCCTCAAATTTACCATTCAGGTTAAGTTTGCTAAAATTTGTAGCTCTGTAAATAGCTTTGAAAAATCCTGCAGCTGTATAAAGTTGTTTTTTTGTTTTCTTTATTATTTATTCTGGCATCAATCCATAAACATTGCCCTACGTCAACAATGCCTTGAGCACAAAAATGTACAATGTAAAATAGATCAACAGTAATCTGAGAGATCAAAATATATCATGGATCGATATTGTCAATAGTATACACAACAGCAGAATGAGCATGACCATAGGGTAACTTGCCTCCCCTATACTAGGGACTTCTGGAAGTGTGGGTCTCAAGCTCTGACAATTAAGGTGGAGAAAAATAATCAAACTTCTAATTGAAAAATAGAATAAAAACATAAGTGTATTTTGTTTTATTTAAAATCACCAGTTACATAAATACTACACTGTATTCTGTTTTCTCCTCTTAATCCCTATATTAGTCCAGCCCCACTGGGGCCGCTCTGGGGACACAACCACCACAGAACCAGAAGGGAGGCAGACCGAAGGTAGTCTAAGACTACCAACATATCCACAGACAGAGATTGTATCGTCCAGGCGCATATAACTGGAGCCGAATACAGGCTCCAGAAAACTGTAAGTGTATTTTGTTTTATTTATAATCACCAGTTACATAAATACTACACTATATTATGTTTTCTCCTCTTAATCCCTATATTATTCCATCCCTATCTGGATTTGAGTTTATTACTGAAGACGCTGCTTCCCTGCATTTCCCTTTTTATTTGACTGTCTGCCGGTAACTGTGTATGTGACTGTCTGTAGCTATGTGTGTGTGTGACTATCTGTAGTTGTTTGTGTGGCTGTCTGTTACTATATGTGCCTTTCACTGTCTGCCTGTAACTGTGTGTATGACTGTTTGTAAATGTGTGTGAGTGTGAGACTGTCTGCCTGTAACTGTGTGTGTAACTGTCTGCCTGTAAATGTGTGTGTGACTGACCATAATTGTGAGTGTATCTGTCTACCTGTAATTGTGTGTATGACTGTCTGCATGTGACTGGCTGCCTGTGCCTGTGTGTGTGATTGTCTGCCTGTACCAGCGTGTGACTGTCTGTAACTGTGTGTTTGACTATATACCTGCAATTGTGTGTATGTTTATGTGCCCAGGACTATGTGCATGTGGTTGTGTCTGTATTTGACAGTGTGTATTACTGTGTGCATCTGACTGTGGGACTCTGTGCATTTGACTCTCCAAAAATACACACCTGCATTCACACCTGCATATTTTTATCTGAATTAAATACCCATCACACACACTAAATAAACCCTGCATAAATATCATACACAGTCAATACACTAATAAATCACACACAGTCTATACTACCAATGCAAATATCACACACAGTCAACACCCGGCATGCATATCACACACAGCCATCATGCCTATCACACACAGACAACACACACATTACATGAAATTATTGTGAATTATATTACAGTGGAGCTCTGTCATACAAATTGCACAATACTGTGTTTTATAGTTGTGGAGTTCTGTGATACACTAATAGACACATAACTTGGATGTATATTGGTTGTGGAGCTCTGTGACATTCTCATACACTGCACATTAATGTGAGTTGTATTGTTGTGGGGTTCTGTGATAAACTGGTGCAACCACATAGCACATTGATGTTTTGTTTTTTTTGCTGTGGAGCTCAGTAGTAAATGGATAAACAGTGCATGAGGTTTTTTCCAAGGAGGTCAGAGTAAATAAGGAAAATCTGAAGCTAAAAAGTAAAATTACTCACAATATTAGGTGACATACTTAGTCTGGCACCTCTGACATGCACTTCTGTTGACTGTCTTTCGAGCTGCAGCCAATCAGAGCTTTGCCACTGATTACCACAGGAAAACTCTAACACTGTAAGTGCCTGAGCTCGCGAGAGAGTTACTGATGGTCTGCACCCGGTGGAGGAACAGACCAGATTCCCAGTACACTTGACCACCAGAGATCAGCGTGCAATCAAAGAAACATCAGAGAAGGGGAATTAATATTTGTTTTTAAATAATTATTATTTTAGTAAATCCCCTATACAAACATTGCACCCCTATATACATGAATGGGGTATTACCAGGAAGGACTACTGTGAAGATTTTTCACACAGACACCCAAAGGTCTAATGCCAGCTCTAGTTACTTAATTATTTTGGGGCCCTGAATAAAGATGAAAACACTCTAACATTCAGAATACAAACATGCATTCCTAATATTAAAGTATTCTATCAAAATACTTTATTACCCATTTCTCTGATGATCAATGCTAGGTGTTTTGCAAGGTACATTAGGTATTGAAAAGTATATTAATATTAAATACTAATCCCAAAAATCTTCTACTCCGGTACTTCAAAAAATAAACAATGATGCATGGTACTAAGTTTAGCAGGAAACATACAATACCAAATGAATGGCACTCTACTGCGCTCGCAAAACAAAAAAATGGCTACATTTATTTCAGTTTTCTCATAAATCTTTAATGAGGACAAATATATATATTTTTTCAACCAGTAGTTTATGT